ATTCTGGCTGCGGTGTGGCCACAACTATCCGCTGCAGGGGATGAACTGAAGTTGCCGCCTTACTGCTTAATCTACACCCAAGAAAAGCTTCTTATTCATGAATGACACGTTTGACGAAGAGATAATTGCATTATGTATGCCTATTCACTAATTAATATGTAAAATAATATCCCATATCAAATATAGCGTCCTAAATGAAGGTCAGATGAGGATGGGATTATGGGGAAAATACTCCTTGGGGCACTTCAAACTCCCTGTTGATGCCACTGGGGGAACTGTCCTGAAGACCCCTGAGTGCAGCCCTGCCCGGCCTAAAAGGTGGCTTGCACCTGCCAGGCTGCCAACTGATGCCTCCCCCCTCCCCGCCGCGCCCCGCACTAAGTATAATGCCTCGAATAACAAACTCGTTTTGGCTGGAAATCCTTCCTGGGCCACCCTACACCGTGCCTCTGTGGCACTGGGGGACTCTCCTGGACACCCCTGCCCAGAGTCTTGTCCGGCCCAAAGCGCAGTTTGGCCGTGCCACGCAGGGTGTGGGGTTTCCTTCCTGTGGAGGAAGGACCAGGAGCATCTACAGTCCTGACACAGGCTGCTCAGCGACCCACCTCGGAGGAAGTGCCCTGCAGCTACAACATGGCAGGGGTATCCCTGGGATTTAAGATGCACCCAACACTTCCTCTGGTCTGAAAACTGGGTGGGCTGCAGTTATCAATACTGCTGCTGGACTCTGCACTGTGTATTATTCTGGGGGGGGGGGTGCACAAAATACCTCCTGGAAGGCTGTGTGGCCTAACAGATGAGGCGCCTGTTTTATGTTCAGAGGGTGCGAGTCCCTCAATGGTCTTTTTTCCACTTTCAGTTAAAAAAAGTTATGTTCAACGTGCAGCAAGTTGAGCAGGGGGAGGGGAGACAGCACTGAGGCCCGGGATAGGGGAGAAGGCAGAAGTCAGGGTGCTGGGGCTCTGTGTGTGTGTGTGTGTGTGTGTGTGTGTGTGGTGGTAAACATGACACTGACTTTCTATTCTGGGAAGTCCTGGGTCACACCCTATCCTGCCTGGGCTCTCTGGGAGGGGAGGGGAGGGTTGAGAGCAGGGGGCTGGAGCCCAGACGCGGGGAGGGAGTCAGGGTGAGAGCAGGGGACCCGGACACCTGCATTTTCTGGGTACTCGAGGCCTGGGGGTAAACACAAGGGGTCCGGTAGGCAACGGAGCGGGCCAGCAGGCACTCACCGCGTGGGACTCCGGTACCAGGCTTGTCATTACTTTTCCCCTTCTGCAAACTGTAACCAGAGTTTCAGTGAAACGCTGAGCCAAGTACCAAAAATAAACATGTGTTGAGAGATCACAGTACAGCCTCCTCCCCCACCACCCACGCCCCTGGCTCCCCACTCCTGACCTGCAGCCCTGCCCCCACAGCCCTGCTGGTGCCCCTCACTCCCAACCCACAGCCCCTGCTCCACTAGAAAACCTTGTTGTTATTATTATTATTATTTCTTGGGTGTTCATTAAGGAGTAAGGAAACAACTTCAGCCTTGTCCCCTGCCGTGGATGGCTGGGGCTGCACCACAGCGGGAGTCCTGGGTCCTGGGCCCGGTTCGCACGGCCCCATATCCCTCAGCACCGTGCAGTGACCCTGCAGTGCCCTGCGGGCTGTGCCGCGGCCCATTGCCCATCGCTGCGCAGGATCGGCCGCTGCGCCGACATTGCAGCTGGAAGCGCCGCAGGAACCTGCTGCGAAAGTGGCATCAGGCTCCCAGCTGCTGGGGGTGGGAGTGAGGGGCACTGGGGGCATGGGGACGGCTGGACACAGAGCTTGTTATTCATCATGAATGCCACGTTGTACAGAGAGAGAATTGCATTAGCCGTGCAGAGCGGGAGGGGGAAGCCGAGCGTGGGAAGCGGAGCTCAAAGCTGCGCCAGATGCTGTAGCCAGCTGTCAGTGACTGGAATGAAAACTGGATGAGGTTCAAGCGTGAGTGTGCTGGCAGAGGAAACACCATGTATCTGGGTCCATGAAGGCAGTTCTTCTTAAGCGTTCCTGGGGATAACTATTCTCCTAGCGTAGTTTAGTACCCACTGAGGTGTTAGGGCTTGAAGCCCATTTTATGGAAATGGGAGGCTCCTCCCTAGTTTGCTCCTGCAGCCGTATGGCTGAGGGCAGGTGAAACTTGGGGGCCCGTATGGCTGAGGGCAGGTGAAACTTGGGGCCCCCCGACCCCCAAGCCTCTGGGCTTGAGCCTGCACATAGGATGCTTGCCAAAAGACTTTGGAAATATATGAAGCCCCTGATGGGGGTGGAAGATGTTTGCCGGTTGTAGGGCCACTTATGGTTCTGGACTGACTCACAGATTTAGACTTGATTTGGCTTAAAACAAACAAAAAAATTCTTTAAAAATAATAATTAAATGAAGTCCAAGCCCTGTTGCAGGGGCCCCTGTTGTCCCAGTCCTTCCTGGCCTGGAGTGTGGAGGCTATGATCCATGCAGGCGGCGGTGGAGAGCATCTGGCCCCAACGCGGGCTGGAGGGAAGAGGAGGGGAGGCCTGTGGCACCCCCCACCCGGGGATGAGGCTGCCGCGCCGGGTCAGGCAGCCTTACCACGGCCCCCCTCCACACTCCTTGACTAGTCCAGGACTGAAGCCCCACGCGGTGAGTGTCTGTGGCTCTTGCTGGGGCTCTGGGGTCCGCTCCATTGCCTATGGGACCCCCTGCTCTCACCCCCTGGCCCCCCAGTGCTCAGAGAGCCCAGGTGTGCGGCCCCCAGCCCCATGATCTCACCCCAGCCCCTCCCCTCCCAGAGAGCCCGGGCGTCCGGGCTCCTAAGGCACCGCTTGCCCCGTCCCCTTTCCTGGGACCCTGGAGAACCAGGCTCTCCCCCCGGGGTCCTTCCTCCACATTTCCCATGACACAGACTCCTTCCCCGAACTTGTACCAAGAGTACAGGTCGTGTCACATCCCCACCCCCTCCTAACACACACACACACACACACACATCTTCCTCTTGTACTGCACAAGTGCAGGAGCTGTACATTTGCTGCATGAAGCCCCTGCCTGCAGCACTGCATGGAGTTGCATGCTGCCGCAATCCCTCACGCCCCAAAAAAGCCTCACACCCACATCCTGTCCCCACAACCTTCCCTCATTTCATACCCTATCACCCCCACAGCCACACCCCACCACACACACACACACACCCAACCGCACCCCACACACAATATACAAAAGACTATTTTTGACTGATTATGCAGTCGTCTCTATGTACGGTATTCAAGCACAAATAATAATACAATTAAAACAATTATTTAACAATTTATTTGCCTCCATTTTTCTGAGCCGGGATCAGGTCACCTTACCCCCAGACATGCTCGGCCTCATAGCAGCCTGCATTGGGGTGACCCAGGCTCCCAGGGCTGGCTCAGAGAGGGGAGGCATCTCCTTTGGGGGGTCCCTCAGGCCAGAGCCCCTTGCACTTAGTTTTGGTTCAGGTGCTGAAGTAGACATTGATCCCTGTGCAGGGAGGAAGGACAGGAGTTAGTGGGGTGTCTCTGGCCCCATGAGATCCTCCAGCCCCATCCTGCCCCTCTGGAGGGTGCAGGACCCTGGGCTCAGGAGAGCCAGGTGGGCACAAACTGCTGCCAGCTCAGCCTGGAGGGTCTTTGCGCTCACCCTGTCCTGCAGCCAGCGGGGACCAGGCACTGGCTATGTCATGGGGCTGGTAGCTGCACCTCTGAGCCTGCCCCTTGCCCAGGGCTCGCACCGAGGGGGTGGGATTGCCTGCAGCCCAATGGCCGAACACCCAGCGAGACTTCCCGGCTCCACAGGAGGGAGGTGACACCTGCCCCCAGCCCAGGAAACAGCCCTGCCCCAGCGCACAGGAGACGGGGCAGGGGTGAGGTAGCCCCCACAGGACAGGGGTCCACATACTAAAAGCAGCCTCCAAGCACGAGGTGCAGGAAACATCCCCACCCCCAGAAGCCACCGAGCTCCCGGCTGGGCCAGTGCACATCAGGACTGCCCTGCCTTGAGGCAGCTTCCTGCGCCCAGCCCACAGCCCCCCACTTTACCCACCGCCCCAGGCCCCAGTGCCCGCCCCCGGGTCAGGTCCATCACAGTGACGCTCACGGGAGCTCTCTGAGGATTCACTCTCCCAGGCTTCGCGAGCTGAGAGTGAAGGAAGAGGGGGTCAGTACTCCCTGAGCATAGGGACCGGTTCCCCCGGCGCAATGCCCCCCGTGCCCCGCACCAGCCCCTGCTAACAAGACCTGCAGACGCCAGGGTGATGGGAGCGCTTGTGACTCCCCAGACCGGAGCGAGGCTCAGGGCTCTGCCCAGCCCCCCGGCAGCACCCGGCATGGGAGAGGGTGACGGGCTGTGGGGCACGGTCCATGTGGAGCCAAGAGCAGCCCTTGGGCTCCAGCAAGGCAAAGACACGGTGCTATGAATCTATGAATCTATGCTGGGCTGGGGTCTGGCGGCTGCCACGCAGGGGCACATCGGCTGGGGGGCCCCCCCCCCCCCCCTCAGGTCCCAGGCACGGTGGTGATGAGCCCTCCCTGCTTTCCCCGCCCCAAGGCCTGGGTATGGCCTGGCCCCAAAGACTTCGCCCGGCACTTACTCAGGAAAGCACAAGAGACAGACAATGATCCCAAAGGCCACTGCAACAAAACTGATAACAATGCCCACAACTGGTATCAAGTTGGACTCTGGAAGAAGGAAGGGACCTTTGAGCAAGGGGAACCTCCTACCTGCCCCCAACGCTTCACGTACCCAGTGCCTCCTCCCCACTGATGACCCCTACATCCTCCCACCCCCCAGTGCCTTCCCCACTTAGCGGGATCAGTCACCCCTTCCCTCCCCGAGCACCACGTTTCTTCCCCCTCCCCGTGCGGGGGTCACTCACCCGTCCTGCCCTTGTCCCAGGACTCTCTCAGGGCTGCCCCCAGGCTCTCGTGCTCCACGCTGCAGACATAATTGTGGTTTCTGCTGGGGTCTATCTCAATGGTGGCCCGGGTCTGGTAGGTCCCATCTCCGCTGGGAAAAACCTCAGAGCGGGTTGTCTCCTGGGTCTGCGCCTCCCCGTTCTTCAGCCAAACGACAGCCACGTCCTTGGGGTAGAAGCCGTGGACCCGGCAGGACAGGGTGGTGCGTCCATCCTGGGATGGCCTGTCGCTCACCTGTGCCATGGGACGCTCTGGAAGGGAGGAGACACCCGTTAGAGTGACCGTCCCTGCGGGACCCCCAGCACCGCGGCCAGGAGCCAGGCTGGGCCCTGCACTGGGCCACACAACCTGGCTCCAGCACCCATTTCAGGCAGGAGCAGACGGTGTCGGGACAGGAGCACAGGGATGGGGGAGACAGCTGTGGTGGGCTTGGGGCTGCAGGAACGGGGTCCCATACAGCTGATCCCTGGTTCTCAGACACGTGTCCATGGCACGGACACCCCGTGGGCTCTGCCCAGCTGGGAGTCCTGACCAGGGCAGGGACAGGGGCATTGGGTCCCACAACAGCGCTGGCATCTTGCCCTCCTGCAGGACCGAGATGCAGCGCTAACCACCCCGGACACAGGGAGATGGGGCAGGCATTCCCCGGGGAGGCAGGGGGTGCCCCGGTCAGTGCTGCCCTGGGCGGTGACGCCAGGACTCACTGCGCTGCAGTGCTGCCTCCCCGCACTGCAGGTACTTCCACAGCCACTCGATGCAGGTCTTCTCCAGGTAGGTACTGGTAATCTGAAGAAGGGCCTTATCCTCATTCCAGCTGCGCTGGGTGACCTGAGCCTGTGTTGTCATTCCAGCTGCGCTGGGTGACCTGGGCCTGTGTGGGGGCTGCTACCCAGGTGCGCGTTCCCAGGTCATAGCTGATGAAGTCTCCCCCGTCATAGCCCAACTGCATGTAGCCTCCAGTGCTGCCGTCTTCACGGAGCTCGCAGCCGTACATGAGCTGCAGAGTGTGAGACTCTGAAACACAGATCCAGGTCCCGGGTCAGGGTCAGCCCAGGGAGCAGGGGCCGCCGAGGCTGGAAAGCAGAGCGGTTGTTAAGGGGCTCTTGGAAGGGGCCAAGCCCGGGGCAGGGAGCAGCAGGCACGCTGGGAAGGGGGTTGGATCAGTGCAGGAGGGAGCCTGGGAACAGTAGCTGCCGCCCTTGCCCTCGCTGATGGCATGAGTCGTGTGAGCTCCTTGTGCCCCAGCCCAGGAGATCCAGCTGCACAGGGCTGGTGACACAGAGCCCTGCAGCCAGCTGTCCTGGGCATTGCAGGCCTGCATGGCCCCTGCCCTCTCACACGTCTGTCCTCCCTCCACAGCCCTGGTCCTCCGTCCTTCCCACCCCATCGGCCCCTGCACGCAGGAATTGGAGCCTCTCAACCTGTGTCAAAGGGGCCATCTGGGCTGGGGTCACTGAGGGGCCTGGAGCCCCTCCCACAGCATGGGGGTCTCAGCGCTCTTCTCACCCTGGTGCCCACTTACACTGCAACAGGGACAGGCTGGTGTGCAGATGGGTCTGGGGGACCGGCTGGCAGGGGGCTGGGATGGGCTGCCTGCACGGGGTGTTGCACACGCCTTCCCCCACTCTGCTGCATGTCTGAGCTGGCGGCACGTGGCAGGGCAGCGACAGCCCCTGTCTGACCCGTCTCAGGAAGGCAGAGCCAGGTCTGGAGGCCAGAAGGGCCAGCCTCAAACACACGTCACCTGTGAGTGATACCGAGGTGCTAGGGCAGGGCTCAAGGAGCTGCTTGCAACCGGAGGGCACGAGCTGGGGGAATGTGTGCCGGCCCATGGCAGTACAGAGGACAGCCGTTCCCACCGCTATCGGGCATATGGGGTTTCCCTGCATGCATCAGCCTGGGGGCTCCAGCCTGGGGACAAGGGCTGGGCTCCTGTTGCAGGATCCAGACAGCTGGGGGATATGGGGGAGAGCTCTGTGAGGCACCGACCTGCTGGGTCAGGGAAGCACCGGAGCCTCAGTCTGCTGGGCACAGGCCAGGGGATGCCGCTGACACCAGGTTCACGGGAGGGGGAGAGGGCTCCCTCCGCAGCCCCCTGGCTGGAGACTGAGCAGGCGCCTGCACCCCAGCCCCGGCCCTGCCTAGCCCCTGGCCGAAGCAACTGCAGGGAGGAGCTGGCAGGGACACAGAGACCAGGCATGAGACAATGTGACGCCCTCTCGTCTCCCCGCCCCAAGCTGCTGATGGGCAGGTCCCCCCCCCACCCCATGCTCTCCTCAGTCACTAGCAGTGCCAGGGTCCTCCACGGCCTCCTGCTCACACCTGCCTGCTCACACTCACCCCTGGTCTGGTTGTAGCGATGCTGCAGCGTGACCAGGTTCCGTTTAAATCCATCCTGCCAGCTCCGCAAGGACATGGTTTCCCCCTTCCAGAAGTCTGGCTCGATGGCCCCTAGTATCCAGTCTGCGCGTGGCTTCTGTCTCTGCGTCTCGCTGTCATAGTGCAGAATTTGCTGGTCATCCACGTAGCTCTCAGCAGTGAAGGCGGGCATGTCCGGGCCGGGGTCTGACACCCCCGTGTAGAGATGCTGGTAGGAGTGGAAGCCTGCGGGAGTGACGGTCGGCACTAGCAGGGCAGATGGCAGTGCCCCAGTGCCCAGTGCCACTTCCCGGAGGGGCCGCAGAGGATAGACACGGGCCTGTGTGAGGCCGGAGTGGGGGCACAGAGCGAGGGAGCGGTGGGTCCCACAGGAGAGGGCAGAGCCGGCTGGGTGAAGGGCAGGGGCCAGGGAGGAGGGACAGGACCGACCCTGCAGGACACAGGCCCGGCCTGGAGGGGCCACAGTGTGTCCCACTGCCCAGTCGTGCTGCCCCGCACCATCCATCCCAGGCACAGGCCCTGCACAGCCCAGGCACTCGGCTCACCCTGCTCTGGGGGAGCCCGACTCAGGGCCTGGGCCCTGCAGCAAGAGCCTGAGCTCAGCCCCACTCAGGCCTCGGTCCTCCTGTGCGGTCGGGGCCTGGGGCTGGAGGGACACTGCAGAGCAGACGAGGGTCCAGCTGGACAAGCAGCTTCTCCTTGGTGTGCACCTATTCACCTTCCCTGTCAGAGGCAGCAGGCCCCCTCTTCCTGGCCACCAGCAGCTCCCCAGGCAGCAGCAGCCCAGCCAGGAACGGCCATGCTGGGAGAGGGGAGGTGCTGGGGGCCCGTCCGTGGATTCATCTTGTGAACCGACAGGGAGTGGCAGAGGGAGTGGGGGTCCTGCATGGCTCTGTGGGGCTCACCTGCCCCAACCTGACCTGATCCCTCCCCTCTCCATCCCAGATGCAGTGGACCTGTATAGCCCCATGGGGACTGGGGTCAATCCTGGCTGAGCCCCTGGCAGCTGGTCCCACTATCAGGGAACTTAGGGGAACCCCGCAGCCTGGGCTCCCCACGTGGAGCAGAGCAGGATCCTGCAGCCTCGTATAGCAGTGAGGCTGCCTCCCGCCCAGCTACACCCGCACTCCCTACATCGGGACCCAGCTGTCCTACCCCCAGCCCAGCTACAGGCACTGCTACTCACTGGCGCTGGTTCCTGGCACAGCTGCAGTGCCCACGAGCAGCAGCAGGAGTAGCAGCCGGGAGCCTGGCGCCACCTTCACAGCAGCTTCCTGCGGCGCTTGCAGCCGCAATGTCCGTGCGCAGCAGCCCATCCCGTGCAGCGACAGGTGCACCAGGATGCAGTGCCTCTCGCAGGGAGCTGTAGGGTCACTGCACGGTGTGAGGAGAGATGGGGCCATGTGAGTTGGGCTCAGGCCCCAGGATTCCCACTGTGGTGTGGTCCCGGACATCTGCTGCGGGGAATGGGGCTGAAGTTGGTTCCCTGCTCCTTAATTTACAGCCAAAAAATGCTTATTAGGAATGAATTCACATTCTACAGAGAGAATATTTCATTAGCTATGCATATTTACTAATTAATGTGTAAAATAATATGCTGCATCAAGTACAGTGCCCTAACTGCTTATCTTGCAATGGATCCTTATCTTGCTAGGATCCTTTGACCTCAGCTGACTTCCTGGCCCTTGTGCAGGTGGTTGGACCTGATGATCTTACGAGGTCCCTTCCAGACCTAGTGTCTATGATTCTACACGTGAAGATCAGACGAAGATGGGAGTATGGGGGAAAATACTGCTTGGGGCACCCCAAACTTCTTGGCATTGCCACCAGGGAGCTGGTCTGAAGATCCCCGAGTGCAGCCCTGCCCAGCCCAAAGCATGGCTTGGCCCTGCCAGGCTCCCACCCAATGCCCCCCCGCCCAAGTATAAAGGCTCAAATAAGGAACTGGCATTGGGCTGGGATTATGGCCGGAAATCCTTCTTGGGCCACCCCACACAATGCCCCTGTGGCACTGGGGGACTCTCCTGGACACCTCTGCCCAGTCTTGCCCAGCACAAAGCGCAGTTTGGCAGTGCCACACAGGGTGTGGCGTTTTCTTTCTTCAGAGGAAGGACCAGGAGCATCTACAGCGCTGACACAGGCTGCTCAGTGGCCCGCCTTAGAGGACGTGCTGTGTGGCTACAACACGGCAGTGGTAAGTGGTGCTCCTGTCCACACTGGGGTTTAAGATGTACCAGACGCTTTCTCTGGTCTGAAAACTCTGGGCTGGTTGCAGTTAGCAGCAGAGCTACCTGGGCTCTCCATTGTGCAACATGCTGCCCTCTGTGGAGCCTATCCACTGGATCCACCCTGCACTGGTTCACTGGCAGTCTTAACTACCTTATGGCATGGATCACTTGAAGTGCATGTTTTCTAGTCTAAATACCACTTAGATGATGTCAGCAATCTAGCACACCTGTGTTGGTTGAAAGATGAAGATACCAGGGGTACAATGACAGAGATGTTGAGGGCTGATACCAATACAGCTGCTTCCAGCTGGTAAATCCGTTGTGGTGGAAGGGGCGTTGGAGGGCAGATCAACACCCCCGCGATGGGGGAGGGAGCAGGGGCCGGGACGTGGGACGTACCCGTGGCTCGTGGGAGTGTGCAGCTCCTGCCGCTGTGCGTAGCCCGGGCGGGGGGGCACGTGCCCCCGGCTCTGCGGGGTGCTGCAGCTGCGGCTGGAGCCGGGGCTGATCTCGGCGGGGGCTGGGCTGGGCTGGGAGCAGGCGCTGGCGGCACTGGGAGGGGTGCAGCCCCGAAATTTCGCTGCAGCTCTGCTTCCAGCCTCGAGCTCAACGGCCAGGCTCCCCCCACCGCCGGGAAGAGCAGCGGCTGCTGAGGGGGGGGAGCTGGCGGCCGGGGGGCCGGGTTCTCGGGGAGGGGACGGGTCTGGGGGCCGGACGCCTGAGTTGTCTGGGAGGAGGGGTGGGGGAGCAGACCCTGGAGCCCGAGGACGACTTGCAGGCACTCACCGCGCAGGGCTCCGGTCTTGGAGTAGTGAGTTGTGTGCCCGGTTCCGCAGGGGGAAAGACTTTCCTTCCAGCGGTTAGTACAGCACCGAGCTTCACTGCGCCTGCCCTGCCCTGCCCTGCCCTGCCCTGCACTTTGGCCCCGCAGCCCTCGGTCATCAAGGGGTGTAGGCTAGGAGAAACCTAGCTGGTTGCGTCGGAGAAAGCCGGGTAGCCAGCCAGCCAGCCAGCTAGGGGTTGCGCGGCGATGGG